AAGAGGCGTTTTAGGCGCTTCACATGGCGGCCGACCAGCCATCGTCGAACAACTCAGCCGACTCCGACTTTGAGGATGTTCCGGCGACTCAGGCTGCCGCAAGCAATGAAGACTGTTCGTCTGGAGCTGACTTCGACGTGGATAAAAAGACGGGGTCAATGGACGAGCTGGCAGCAATGCCGAGGAGGCATGCTGGGCAGTGCCGAAGCGAGAGGTGCATTTGTGGCTGAGCCTACGTTTGGTACGTCACCAAAATCTCACCAAGCTCAGACGGCTCGGTGAATACGGACCGAACATTTGACCGACCAGCAGAGATTGCAGTGTCGATCAATTTGGACGGATTCAATAGGACGTGCAAGACATGGGACGAGTTTGAAGAGGAACTTCATCAGCTCCACTGCAGAGCGTTCCAACCGTTCTCTAAAAGAGAAAGTAACTCCATAGCAGTCCGGAACAAGCAGATGGAAAACTTGTGGAAGGCCAACAGTGCGACCGGCAAGTGCAAGCGCGAGGGAAAAGGTGCTGCTTCTAGACCGATGAGGGGGAAGGGGGGGGGGGGGTTCGAAGACGTACACGTGTACCATTCTCAATCCTACAAGGCCCGTGGGAATGGGGACGAAAGCACAGTAGAATTTGCCCAACGATTTGCAATGCTAAGGTCAATGTACGCGTGGCTGCAACTGCGAATAGCTCTTGGGTGGCGAAAGGTTAGACATCGGGCTGCCACAACCACAACCTGACAATGCATGCTCGGAATCACTATTCGAAGAATCGGACGCCAAAAGACCCTCAGCTTACACAGGACATGGTAGCTTGCACAGGGCCGGAGCTAGCGCGGAGGGCATTCGGCAGTATCTTCGTGAGCGTACAGTTAGTCGTGGAGTTTGTTTGGTTAAATTTGGTGTAAATGTGGTTAAGGTTATCATTGCATACAAATGTATTTTTTATATGTTGTAGTGTACATTAGACAAAATGACTTCTCTCCTGGACGTTCATAACCCCGTGCATACTATTAGGATTCGTCAAAAAGGTGGTCTCACCGGCGCGGAGCAAGCGCGATTATTGCTGGATTAATTTTGTGGGCAAAACGTCGGCAACTCAGCGGATTTACATGTCGCCGGTGACCGGAATGTTGCCAATGTAGTGACTTTTCAAACTGCGATGATGAAGAGCTTGTTCGAAGCATTTCCTGAAGGCATTATCGTGGATTCGGCTCACCATACACATTCAAACTGCTACAAATTGTTTAGTTTTGTTGTTCACGACGTATTTGGCAAGGTGTGCATTTAATATTTATCCGATTCTATTGTAATGGATGTGGTTATCTAGCTTGTACCCTTAGGGTCAATACCTATATCATGCTCGTGTAGAGTGAAGAAAACGTGAATTTGACTCGTGTTTTGGAAATGTTCAAAGAAAACAACATTGGCCTCAAAAACATCCAAGTTGTGATGACCGACAAGGCGGTCCACGAGAAGGCCGTACTTTGTGAGATGCTGCCCCAAGCACGTCCGTTGTTGTGCCAATGGCACGTGATTACTTGGCTTAAAAAGCAAGCTGCTCGCTACGTTGGAGCCGGAAAGGCGGACGTGAAGTCGTTACTTAGTATACTGGTATACGCTAAGAGCACAGAGGAGTAAGAAGTTGCCAAGGACTCTATGCTTGGAGCACTCGGTGGTGATCCTTCGTAGTCCTTCTTTAAGACCTGCGTAGAGAAGTTGGATGTGAAATAACACGGGTGGGTGCTTTACTTTCGGGGAAATGTTCCTCACCTAATGAACAACGCAAACAATCGAATCGAGACAAAGTGGGAATAGCTGAAGGACGTCACCATAAAAACATTTATATTGACCAGTTAGTGTCTACTTTTATCACGCTGCGGGAGTACGCTGAAGAGCAGTATACAGCTGAATACCATCGGATCCGAGGTCAACTACCAAGCACAATTGTCGACCCGGAAGTGGTTCATGGGTGATGTCGCGCGCTTGCGCTCACTGGATATTGCATGTGGGATATGGTGCAATCAGGATAGTACGACTCGTTTTCCGCAGAATCGTATGACTCCCAGGTTTTGTAAAATCATACGACTCTATACTGCGCAGTTATCGTACGACTTTATATGCGCAATCTTACGACTCTTCTGGTATGCTCGGGGATCCTCATCTGGGACGCAAGATGGGATAGGAGGCTGTTAAAACAGGAGTCGTAGAAGAGGTAGCTATTTTAAACGAACTCAATCCCAAACTTACTTTAGATTTTTCAACCTCGCGTTAGCAACGGTATTGAACAACAGCTTGGAAATCATCCTCGCGGACCGGCGCTGGCAGTGGCCAGGTTGCCGAGACGCAGCTGGATCCTTGTGAAGCGCCTCGTCGATTGTCAGCGTCAGAGCAGGCAGGATCATGGGCATAACATCGTCGATGTCCCACGACAACCTGCTTTGTCGCTCGCGTGGGTTGTAGTCATCATTGGGTGCTTAGTGTATGGTGATCGCCACGCCTGACATGCGTTATCCAAAAAGCGGTGTCTGTCTGTACGTGTCACGGAGGTGTTCCCAAGTATCATCAGCAGGGGACCAACCGAGCCAACTCACTCGATAATATCGCTCATTGTTCAGCGGGGCTTTGACCTCGTGGTGACTCTCCGGGTTGACCACCGCGAGCACCGCAGAGCTGATGTGTGTCGTGGTCGACAATTTGCTCAACGATCCAACGTGAAGCGTCAATCAGTGGCAGAGGCCCGTCTCGCTGGAATGTCGGCGTACTATCCATAGACGTGTGAACGTTCGGGATTGCGGATGGATGGTACTTCTTGAGGCGGCCGACGTAAAACGTCCGGTGCAGCTGCATCGGATATCGAGCGTTTACGCCTCGCCGAGTACTTTTATCACCTTGAACGACCCAATATAGAGCGGTGCGAAAAGGCTCGCGCCGAGGTTGGTGACTGCTGAATCACGAATACCATCTGTCGACAGGACCACGCGTTCTCCTGTCGTGAACAAAGCTGTGTTTTTTCTTCCTCGTTTGTCCGGGCGATCATTAGGCGTTGCACCAGAAAATCGGATACTACTGCGGAGCCGACAGCTCGCGTTGCTTGCCTCGGCCCATAGTTCACTGGCGATGCGTTCGATACGGCACTAAGATTAATCAGGTTCCGATCTGTCCAGGATACGTGAGTAGTCGTCGCGTCGTGCGACGTCGACAAAATCTTGGCCTGAGCGCGCGTCACCGCATTAACCGACGAGTTCGTTAAGGCTACACTCGACAGATCCTTGGCAATCGGTAGAGATGCCGGTCGGCTCAGCACCTGTCACTGGTGGTGTTGTATTTGGGGCGGACTCCGTGCACCCAGCTTTTTCCCGGCCCAGAGTGGAGACCCGTGGTGACGTGGGATGGCCCATGGCGGGGCGGGTTGAAACACGCGGGTGCCGCCCGTTGTTAAGAAAGAACGGCGTCAAACCAGTCAACGCATGTACCGCGTTGTTTAGCGCAAATTCTGCGGGGAGGGGGGGGGGGAAGTACGAGCTCCAATTTTTGAAAGGCGCTGCGTAGCTTCGAATAATATTTTTTGAGGACATGGTTCACACGCTCGGTCTGGCTGTCCGTTTCCGGATGGGCTGTCGTCGACGTCGATAACTTCGTTCCCAAGAGCTCAAAGCGT